CCCCCCCCCACATTCATATGTTAAATCCTAATGCCCAATGTGAAGGTATTAGAAGGTGGGGCTTTTGGGAGGTGATTAGGTCATGAGAGTGGAGACCTCATGAATGGGATTAGCACTTTTATAAAAGAGATCTCAGAGAGTGCCCCTGCCCCTTCTGCCATGTGAGGACACAGTGAGATGATGGCTATCTATGAGCCATGAAGTGGGCCCTCACCAGACACTAAGCCTGCTGGCACCTTGATCTTGGATTCCCAGCCTCCGGACCTTTGAGAATTAAATTTCTGTTGTTTATAAGCCACCAGTCTGTGGTATTCTGTTACACCAAACAGACTAAAACAGCAGGTGCCTGGAAGGAACCATAGTAGGGCTGGGATTAACTCTCCTTCTCCAAGAAATTTAACTACATGTGGCTGAACAGAAATGATGCTCAAAAAAATGCTACAGAAACATTTATATACATAAGCCAAGGCTGGGAAAATTTTTCACTATTTCTCAAACTCAAATACCTCTCTTAAGCTAACAAATAAGCCTGTTTTTATGCTATGAAAGTAATGTACGCACATGGTGTAAAACACAGAAAAATATAATGAAGAAAATAAAAATCACCTGTAATTTTATCACCTAGAGATATCTATTCTGAACATGTTTTGATTTTTTTTTTAACATATCTTTATTGATTTCAGAGAGAGGAAAGGAGAGGGAGAGAGAGAGATAGAAACATCAATGATGAGAGAGTCATTGGTCGGCTGCAGCCCGCAACCTGGGCATGTGCCCTGACCGGGTATCGAACCCCGATCTCCTGGATCCTAGGTCGATGCTCAACCGCTGAGCCATGCCCAGCCAGGCTGTTTTGATTTTATTTTAGCCATTTCCCTAAACTCCCCTGCCCCTATATACGTGAGTGGACAAAAGTAGGTTTACAGCTGTTTTGTATAGAAAATAATAATTAATAAATAATAATGCAAGAATAAACTCTGTTTCACACACTCACAATAATAAACCTCCTTTTGCCAACCCCTGTGTGTGTGTGTGTGTGTGTGTGTATTTATACACATCTCCCTCCTCCCAGTATACTAAAGCTCAAATATTTCTAACTCAGGCCAATGGGGAATAATATTTGTGAAATTAGCTCTGATTTTTATAATGAAGGTTGCTTTACAGAAATTCCTTTGTGCAGCCATCTTTGCTGGGACCACCTAATCTATGTAATGAGTATTATGAAATAAGGAGCAGGATTCTGTCCTTGGATTAAATAGGATGAAATTGCAGGGTGTATGAGGAGGAAAAACCTAAAACTTCTAGCTTTTCTTTCCTCTTTTCCTTTGTTATTGCAGCACGATGCCCTTCACTCTGAAATCTTGGCTGGTAATTATCAGAGACCCCTTTTCCGGTTCCCTGATGTCTTCCCTTCTGGGGCACCAGGTCCTACTTTTAGTAGGTGCCCCCCTTTCTCTTGGAGATAATCACATCAATTGGTCTCTCATTCCAGGGGGATATGACCTAGAATCAGTTTTGTCTTTGAGAAATGAGGTCGCTTTCACGGGGGAGGTGTCAGGAGAAAGTGGGAAGCCCCAGGCTGGGAGAGGAGG